TCGAAGCTGTCACCCAGCATCACCACGATCACACAACCTTTCACCACTTACCTGGAAATAACCACGAACCGCCTGCAGACTACCACCACCACCTGACAACAAACTACCACCACCTGATAATAGACTACCAATACCACCTGACAACAGACCACCATCTCACCACAGACCACCACCACCTAATAAGAGACAACCACCACCACCTGACAACAGACCTCCACCACCTGACAACAGACTACCACCACCACATGACAACAGACCACTACCAACACACAACAGACTACCACCACCTGTAAAGTGATCAATACCAGCTGCCAAGAGAGTGTACAACCAGCTGCCAATTAATCAACATACTCTAAAAGCCTATAACCATGTAGTACCACTTACCACCTACCATTAACCCAACACCACCTACCACTAACCCATCACCACCTACCACTAACCCATCACCACCTACCATTAACCCATCACCACCTACCACTAATCCATCACCGCCTACCATTAACCCATCACCACCTACCATAACCCATCACCACCTACCATTAACCCATCACCACCTACCACCCATCACCACTCAACCCATCACCACCTACCACTAATCCATTAACCCATCACCTATTAACCCATCCCACCCACCACTAACCCACCACCACCTACTAAACAACCCATCACCACCTACCACTAACCCATCACCACCCCCAACCCATCACCACCTACCATTAACCCATCACCACCTACCAAACCCATCACCACCTATCACTAACCCATCACCACCTACCACTAACCCATCACCACCTACCATTAACCCAACACCACCTACCACTAACCCATCACCACCTACCACTAACCCATCACCACCTACCACTAATCCATCACCGCCTACCATTAACCCATCACCACCTACCACTAACCCACCACCACCTACCAACAACCCACCACCACCCACCCACAGCCCACGACTCTAGCTATTAGCCCAGGAGATATAATAGGCTTTCCGAGGAGCCAACGGTCGGCCACCTTTTGATGATACGCGTTAATGAAGAACCTGGCGGCGGGGAGTAACGGAGCATGACCCAAAAGCCTACTGTACTTGTAACACGACTTCTAATCTGTTTACCGGTAGTTAATCGCATGTACTCGCCTAAGTATGAACCCGTGCGCACTGTCTTCTGGGCGGTATGTGAACAATTCCTTCAGTGTATAATGAATATAGATTCTTCTGCTACTTTGGTTCTGAGTCTGGTTTTTCAAGTTCTTTTATTGCTGCGTGGTAAGATGTGTGATAAGATAAGTGATGTTACTAACAATGCAACAATACCACACTAAGATGAGGTCGTACCATGATATGTAAAATACATTCTTAGTCAATGATATTGCTTAGGTAAGAAACAAATAAGGTGTGTGCTGATGATTTATTCAGTAGATATACCGCTCTGATATACTGTGTCTTATTCTATGATAGATAATAAAATAATACAATGTCTTATATCTGAAAGGTATTTATCATGTGGTCGGTCGTGGTGACATAAAGAGCCGGGGGAATTTTCAAAGCTTCGAATGATTTGCGTGTATTAACAAGTCGCTAAAATTCACCTCAAAAACAGAGGCTCCTTATCATTTCTCAAAAAGTACAAAAATAGAATTAAATTCATTGCTTTTATTATTGTATAACTCTTTGCCAGTCAACATGCTTCTTAACTTTCATCATGAATAACCGATTACAGTACCTTTTCATTTTAAGAAGAAAAATAAAAAAGTTTTAGGTTTCCACGTGAAAACAAAATACAGTTTTTTATTCACGTCCAACACTTAATATCAGATAATTTTCCCTCCGAGATGATAACTCGGTTTTTATCTTTTATTTATTAATTTCAGTGTTTACGAATTCTTATATTCCTTTCTCTACGTTTGTTTAGTCATTAAGTCGTTTATAAGTTTATCTATAGATCTGCAGAGCAAATCTCCGCATCTCTTTTTTTTTCCTGTTTCACTTATGTTTGCGATGTATACTTTTTGCGTATACGTATTCTGGTGAGAGATGAGGGGTTGGGTGTGTCTCGACTGTGTCTCCACCACCACTGTCATTATCCTCCGCCTTCTCTAATTGTTGGTTATTGCACAAGCTGTTCCCTAAAGCACATCAAGCCAAAAGTGTGTCAGGAGAGAGATTCCTTCAGCTTGGTACAACGCATAGAAACGTGCTGCGGCTTTCGCCGAAAAACTTATCCTTGTTCAAGGGATTACATATTACCGATGACAATTAGTGAATAATTACCAATACTCGTTGATATAATTCAGTTTCAATAATTACTCATCGGCATCCAAAATCAAGAGTATCCAAGTAATGATAATAAATTGTAGTTTATAGTATCTTACAAAATATTACAAAAATAAGTGTCATCAAAGTGTTATAGTAATGATATTTTCTGGCAGCTTATTTGACATCAGTTGATAATTAATCTACACACACACACACACACACACACACATATACCACCAGGGCACAGGTAACCGACCCACATTTGCAGCTTGGGGGGGGATGGTAGAAAAACAATTAATTGCACCAAAGATATATTCAGAAATTTAAAAAATAAAACAGATAAAGAGTAAGAAACAATATATGTGTTGTGTTGTCAATAGTAAGAGAAACAATTGAAACCTGCAATTGTGTGTAAATGAGGCAGAAAGTCAGATCAGCAACCTGGGACTTGGTCACAATTTTCGTGATGCCATATGGCAGCAGGGTCTACCATTAGACAATACATTATGCTTCCAATATCTTCCCAGGCGGTAGTACCTCCCTGTTTGGTAGCTGCCTACTACCTACTACCTACTATATATACATAGTCTATTAAACGGTCTTGCATACAACATTTAATATTGAGGAATTTATTAACTCAAGGAAACTTGAGCATAAGCACTCGCTGTTCACGTACTGTACAATATACTGTACTTTATAATATATGGTATCATGTAATAAACCCCAGCATTCTCAAGTGTGAGAGTGATGTACATTAACAGTCACGCCGCTGTCCTTGGTGTACTGTACCAGTACCTACACTGTCATTGTACTGATTGGCCGGTGACAACATTTGGGATCCTGTTTACTTTCTTGAACCCAATGTAGGTCAGAACAACACCCCAGGTAAACACATTGAGGCCCGGTTCACCTTGCTTTATGCACCATATATACAAGCACGAGTAACAGCACCTACACCATACCTGTTACTTGTGGATCATCACGGCGGCCGCCACTTACACCATACCCATTAAACTGAATCCCACTTCTTCCGACCACCATACTTATCAATTCGACCAAGAAGGGAGGGATACGCTTACACCATACCTTTTATCCTAGATCATTCTTCCTTATCATAACTGGATTGACCAAGATCCACCAGATGTGCCCTGGTCACTATAGAAACCAACCCAACACTACACACACACACACACACACACACACACACACACACACACACACACACACACACACACACACACACACACACACACGTAAGGCACCATATCTATTTGTACATGACAAAGGGCAACTATTTATACTTTATCCACAAATGTGCAGCCAACTTCTCATAACTGACACATCACCCTCTAAGAGTCTAGACTGTGACCAACTTGTCATATGTGGGGATTTGGGTGATGGCGAAGCTCAGGTTACTCATCGGAAGTCTTTGGTTAAAGTGAGAGGAGCAAGTACTGTGTGAGGTAATGACACCTACTTAGATTTTGTTTTTCACCCTTGGAGTACCTGTAGGTTTCGTTGTATTACTCAAATTAACTGATTAGCTCACTTAATGGCCGTTCTAGTGAGAGGCAGGTTGACGCTCTCGTACTTCCGCCTTTAGGTAGTTTACAAATTTCTACATTTTATCACTTTGATAATCTCATCTTCCTATGACCAGCCTCACACCTCTACTAGTACCTCCTTCCTTTTATGTTTGTATTATGCCTTTCACCTTTCTCTATCCCTCTCCATCATCATCATTATTCCCTTTCATTCTTCTCCCACCACTAAACGCGGTGGGGTTTTTCCTTGTGTACTTGGGCTGACCCACATCCCTCCGTAGAATGACCCCACCTCAGGGGACACACTGGTGGAGCTTCCCTAGTACTACGTGACCAGTGGGCCTCTTCCTGAATGTTAATGTGACTCTCTCTCTCTCTCTCTCTCTCTCTCTCTCTCTCTCTCTTTTATGAAAGAAAAATGACAAGGACACAATATGCCGAATAGGGATAATTTTTTTTGTTTTTATTGCTTTAACTTAATGAAAATTGACTCGTATAATTTAAAACTTGCTTATTGGGGACCACTTTTAGGTTGGGGCCGGTTATGAGGTAGATAGTGTTATTTGTGTTCAATTAATTAATCTTTCCTCTTCCTGTGAAGCAGTCACGAACACACTACACCTGCTGGAGAAGACTGAGACCCAGGTTAGGCAAAAGTAGAAATTCTGCAAAAGTCGAGTAAAAGGTTAGATACATAACACCGAGAAGAAAGAGTAAGAGGAGAAGGTACAGGTGAGAGGTAGGTGAGTAAACATTAGGCAAAAGTGGATAGTGACACATACAGAGGCAAGCAATAAAACGATATGAGGCAGAAACAAGGACATATGGACTTAAAGTGAAAGGAAAAAATAAACGAGCAGAGAGAAATATACAGGTCAAATAAAAATGGAGATAGACTTATATATACGATTTTTGCGGGAAGAGGAGATCTAAACAATGGTGGATAGTAGGATACAGGCGGCCATAGCTGGAAGTAGCTGATAGACCGTGAGACACAAATGATGTGGACAGACGGTTAGCTGAGATACCTCGACCAGACCACAGCTGGACAAAATAACTCCGTGAATGTGACACAAGATATGGCGTTTGCTCTTTGTAGAATTTTTGTCGGGTGGGGAGTAAAGCTTCTCCGTGTTATGATAACAACCCTAAATTACTCTCTTACAACACTATTAATGTTCTCCTCTCCTCCTCCTCAGAGCGCGCCTGAACGATGATGAAAGTGGCAACAATGTGTGTGGTGGCGGCGGCGCTTTTCGCGGTGACCCTAGCCAACCCCTCAGCGACCCTGGCCAGCCCCACCTTCCCCGAGGTCGATTCTAGCAAGATACTTCAGAAGAGAGACTACAAGACGCCCGTACGTCATATCTGTGCTTATTTTCATTTTTTTTCAACCATATAACAGAACTATTGTACGCAAAAAGTCCAACGAATTTTCACCTAGCTTATCATGCATACTGTACTTTAGGTATGTCCAAGGGCTGAGCACAGGTCACCGACCCATATCTGGGCTTGGCGCGAAAATAAGTAAATAAGTAAATAAATAAATAAATAAATAAATAAATAAAACAAATCAAGAGTGAGAAACGATGCACATGTGCTGTCAAGGTAAGAGAGAAAATACTGAGACCCAGCAATTGTGTGTAAATGAAGCAGAAAGTCAGTCAGATCAGCGACCTGGTCATAATTATTGTGATGCCATATGGCAGCAGGGTCTACAATTAGACAACACATTATGCTTCCAATATCTTCCCAGTCGGTCGCACCTCCCTGTTTGATAGCTGCCTACTGCCTGTGTCATTACGGTTGGAGATGGACGTCAGGCGCTTTTCATTGCGGGTATTATCACATAAATTTCAAAATGAGAGAGACAAAAGACAGCATTTGTACTCCATGTACTCACGCACACACGCACACACACTTGGCCAATTTCCTAAACGATGTGGCCGGGAAGTCAAGAGTCATGATCTTCCATGTTTGGAGTTACTTGCCTCTGACTACGTGTCTCTTTTTGTTGGAATTCATTTATTTGCTTTTTCGTGAATGGGTTGTAGTTGAAATAGTGCTTAAGCCAATCTCCTGGAACCAGTTTAATCGCCTAAACTATAACTAAAATGACGGTCTATACATCTTCAGTACCGCATATCAATCGGGTCAATAGTCTTTTGTTTTGACGTCGAATAGGATCTAAATGATTTACGTAAACGATTTTCATAAACGGGTATTTTTTACATCATCATAGACAAACACTCATGTCTGGAGGTGACCCAAGATTTATTTATCCAATTACTTTCTTAATTACCGTTTAGCGTCTTTGTTTCAGCCTATGACCACTTGACACTAACTATCACCACTGACCACTTGATACTAACCATCACCACTGACCACTTGATACTAACCATCACCACTAACCACTTGACACTATCACCACTGACCACTTGATACTAACCATCACCACTGACCACTTGACACTAACCATCATCACTGACCACTTGACACTATCACCACTGAACACTTGACATTAACCATCACCACTGACCACTTGATACTAACCATCACCACTGACCACTTGACACTAACCATCACCACTGAACACTTGACATTAACCATCACCATTGACCACTTGGTACTAACTTAAGTGTGTACTCTTGACACAGTTACAACTTGTGACTGTATGACCTCATGACACTATGTGGTCCTTTAATATGTGTAGCCATTTGTTAATGCTTCACCACTTGACAGTGTGTGTTGCCACTTGATACCGTGTGGCCGTTTGGCACTGTGTGACCACTTAACAATATATAACCACTTGACACCGAGTGGCCATTGACACTGTGAGACTATTTAACATTTTATAACCACTTGATGCTATCCATCTGCGACCACTTATCCAACCCTTTAACAGTATAACCACTTGACCTGTGTGACCATTCTAACACAGTATGACTACTTGACAATTGGCTCAGTGACCAAAAGTGACCACTTGACTCACTGTAAACACTTGACTATATAACCAATTGATAATGTGACCATTTAACCCAGTATGGCCACTCGACATTATTTATCAATGTTCATTTGGTTCAGTGTAATCATGTGACCCAGAGTGACCACCTGACACTATCCTTAAATGACCAGTTGATCCCATGTGACCCCTTAACCTTGTTTGACCATGAATCAGTGTCACCTCTTAAGCCCATGTGATCCTTGACACTTATCTTTGCTGCTGGCAGGGAGCACCGGCCGACTCATACAGCTCAGAAGCAGACAATGGCTTCTACTACTACTACCACCCAGTGGAGGCTGATGGAAAGAAAGATGAGAAGTGTAGTATCGATAAGGTGAGATAAAATTACAGACATAAAGTGTGTGAGAGAGAGCGAGCTAAGAGTTGGCCTTGGATAATGTATGCTTCTTCTAACTCAAATATTCTAAGTAATACCCGGTAATACTTTTTTTCTCAGTCCAAATGACAGTTGTTAAGAACATAAAAAGTAATTTCTTTCTCCAAATGTTAAATATAAAATAAAGTCTCCTTACTCTAAATCACACACAAATATGAACTTTCTCCTCAATGCATATACCACATTGGAATTATTGTCCCACTTTTTGTACTGGAACCAGCTAAAAAAAAATTATGACATGAATTTGAAATGAAAGATGTTATAGTGTCCCTTATTTGTGTTTCCAACAGCTCCTTGTCCCTCTGGTGCTCATTACCATCTTCGTGGGCATCTCGACCTTCAGTGGTCTCCTGTCACCCATCCTGGGAAAGTTTACGGACTTGCCAACCATCACCATCCCCGAGCTTGTCATCCCAAAAGCTAGGGACTTGGCAGCCTCAGCTGTCTCCTACATCCCTTGGGACTCCGTTGATAGGGTGAGAAATAATCCATGTTGGTCAAAGGAAATATATTGGAAGTCACAGGATATATTAGAGGTGACACAGGATAATACATGCATACTTTAAAGGTGACATAGGTTTTTATACATATGGATTTTATAGGTGACAAAAGCCATTATTCAGGTAAACAACCCAAGGAATCAATACACTAGTGCTTATGTTGTTGGCAACTTTTTAAAACTGTGGATTTTGTAAATGACACAGATCTTTATACAGTACATAATATGTATCGCCTACAAACTATACATTTTATATATTGTAGATGATACACTACAAACCTTTAAAACATTATACTTTGTAGGCAACCCAGACCTTTCATAGATAAATAGGACTTTAATATACAGTATATGTATTCTGTAGTTTCCTTTGAAGTTTAATCAATGCGCACCTTGGAAGAAACACTGATTGTTATGTGCGTGTTTCAGGTGACACTAGCAGTGACGGAGGCAGTGGAGAGTGAGCAGTGTCTGCCACGCTTGATGTGTGAGTCTGGCAAATACGCTAATGGCCGCAGTACTGCCCTCAGGTGAGTCTACCCCAACTGGGGCCTCCACACAGTGTCAGCTGACATCATTTCTCCCTTATAAGCTTAACCATTACACAATTACGCAAAAGAATTATATTATATCATCGACATAATACATGAACTATCCATTGTAATACCACTTCAGCGAGTGCAATTTTCAATAGAAGTATTAGTGAAACACAGAATTTCCTTAGTTCTCCCACACAATATAAACTGTACAAAGTAAAGACTTCTCATTTGCTGCTCCCAGGTCTTGGTGGGACAAATGGTCTGGCAAGTAACTCTCCATCTGTGGTGAACACCTTCCAAAACATATTCACATTACAGTAAAACAATGTATTGATGTCCTCAAGGTTGATAACTTTCAATGTTTCCTTCACAGCCTCCTGGAAATCTTCACCCCACGTAGGCTACAGGCACACATGAAGATCTTCAAGGACTCAGCCCTGAAAAACACTGACTGCACCATCTACAAGTGCAGACATGCCGATGGTAACAAGAAGGCTTAATATGTGATTGACAGCACAAGGAGTAGCAACCTGCTGAACAATAATATATATTATTTTCAGTATATGCTAGAGCTAGGAGGGAGAGGCAGTCCTCTTTTCTTGTTTCTCTCAGATACAAGTCGTGATCTCCTCTTTCATTTAAAATACCCTGTATAAGAAATATCACAGCTTGTGACACTGTGTACTTCTTTCTTTTAAGATCTGTCTATGATAAAAGTAAGATATTTAAAAGAAAATATTTTTGCATCTCTTATAACATATGTATTTATCATGATATTTTGATATTTATTACCATATTTAATTTTTATGTACCATTATGTATAAATTCATGTACTGTACTGTACAGTAACTTAAAATACTCAACATAATGCCCATGCACTATGAGAACTGTACTCATTATGTGTTCTGGGTTATAACATTAAAAAAGATTAAAGTACAGCCATTGTGTTTGTTAACCGAGGGACCACTGTATTTACCCGAAAATATGAGTTGCAAAACAATCATAACACCACAGATTGTCCCAGTAGCCTGCTGGTTACAGTGACGAGTTTAACCTGGCTACAATTCCATGATTAATCCAGTGAAATATGGCAGGGAGGAAGGAGTTACAAAAGCAGACGACACTCTAACCCGTTCCCAGGCGTACAATCGAAATACGCATAGGGGAAATACATATCTTGTAGTCTAATTTGAAAACGATGATGAGCACAGTGATAAACAAATTATATAAACCATGCATTTACCTATGATAACATAATAAGAAACATTGTATCATCACTAGAGTGAATTAAATAATATTCCTAAAAACAACAATTGATAACTCTCAGGCACCTGTGTCCCGCGCATCCTTTGAAACTTTGGCTCAAGGCGGACTTGTCATCAGAGGACAAATTTTGTTTTAACTTTTATATATTTTTTTTATTATTTTTTGGCAAATAATTTTGTCCGACTTGAGAGATATCCACCTTAACGAGGTTTTAATATATATATATATATATATATATATATATATATATATATATATATATATATATATATATATATATATATACATACATACATACATACATACATACATATATTTACCCCTTAACAGTCAATAAATTTAGAGGGTCCCATGTTAAAGTGAAATCCTCGATAAGTGAACAACAGAACATATGGGATTAATTCCAATAAAACAAGCCCGACCCCCAAACTCCACTTTTTAAAAGACATAACTGTTAGTAAAATAACATCTTAATTTTATGATGGTACATGCACACAATTAATATACTTAAGAGAAATAGAAATACGGTCATAAATTAATGTCCATTCCAAATAATGGACTCAACTCCCTCCCCCTCTCACACTACACTGCCGGCTCTTCCCTCTCAGAGAAATTTTTGGGGGAAAACCACTAAATTTTAATAAATAATACCTCAAACTAAAGTTAGGATAATACAATTGACATTGCTGGATTCCTTGTAAGACCAGGAATATTTTGAATATAAATGTCATATGTTTTGCACAAAAGATAACATAGTTACCTAGAGAAAAAATTTTATCTAAAATTTGTATGTTTAATGCAAAATATATGATGTTTATATTCAAAATGATCACCAAATTATAAGAATTCCAGCAATGTAAATTATATTCTGACCGGGTAATTTGTATGAATTTTATGAGCTAAAACAAATCTCTTCAGTTAATAAAAAAAAAATAATCTTCACGACACTATCTGTCAATCAAAGTACCCCACCTTGCCTCCCCCCCTCTTCCAACCGCGCGGTCAGTCCCAACCCTCCCCCCCACCCCCCACCAATCCTCCCTTCAAGAGAAGAGTGGGTGAAAAAAATAAATTTTAACATTTTCTATTAAATAATACCTCAGATTAAAGTTAGGATAATATAATTGACATTGCTGGATTCCTTGTAAGACCAGGAATATTTTGAATATAAATGTCATATATTTTGCACAAAAGATAACATATTTACTCAAGAGTGAACATTTTATCTAAAATTTGTATGTCTAATGCAAAATATATGATGTTCATATTCAAAATGATCATCAAAATATAAGAATTCCAGCAATGAAAATTATATTCTGACCGGGTAATTTGTATGAATTTTATGAGCTAAAACAAATATCTTCAGTTAATAAAAAAAAAAATATATTCTTCACAGGGTAACAGATGGTCGGTCGGTCCCTCCCTCCCCCCCACCCCCCACCAACCGTCCCAAGGAGATGTGTGGGATAACCACTAAATTTTAATAAATAATACCTCAAACTAAAGTTAGGATAATATAATTGACATTGCTGGATTCCTTGTAAGACCAGGAATATTTTGAATATAAATGTCATATATTTTGCACAAAAGATAACATAGTTACTCAGAGAAAAAATTTTATCTAAAATTTGTATGTCTAATGCAAAATATATGATGTTTCTATTCAAAATGATCACCAAATTACAGTATAAGAATTCCAGCAATGTAAATTATATTCTGGCCGGGTAATTTGTATGAATTTTATGAGCTAAAACAGGCAGTCAGGCAGGGTGGCGGGTGGGCAAAATCTAAAAATAGCATCTCGAGCCGGACACTCACCGCGTATATGTGGAAAAAAATCCGTGTTAAGTGAAAGTTCAGCTCTGGCAAGGCACCGCGTATATGCGAAAACGCGCTAAGTGAAACCGCGTTAGGCGGGGTAAAATATATATATATATATATATATATATATATATATATATATATATATATATATATATATATCTTGATAAAATCACACGGGAAAAGGGAAACAACGGAGCACCTTAGCTTTTGTCTTTATTCAAGACATCTTCAGTTGCCTCTGAAGATGTCTTGAATAAAACAACAAATTATAAGATGTTCCATTTTTCATATATATATATATATATATATATATATATATATATATATATATATATATATATATATATATATATATATATATATATATATATATATATATATATATATATATATATATATATATATATATATATATATATATATATATATATATATATATATATATATATATATATATACATCCTAAAACTGAGAGGAGACCAAAAATAAAACAAAATTAGATTTGAAAATCCTGTATTGCACTAAATCATAAACAGCATAATTCTACATTACAAAACTGGAAGGCCAAAATATGATGTAGTTTATACTGAAAGACTCTATTTTTCAACTCTAGGATATATTTTCTATCTTTTATAAATATTACAAAGGCACAATATATCTAATTATACTGTATATAAATATAATTGTATTGACTAAAAAAAATTCAAATTAATTTCTCAGCAAAAAAAACTTAACCATTGTCCTTCTATGAGACATGTATGTGTGTGTGTGTGTGTGTGTGTGTGTGTAAGAAATCATATAATTTTCTTTATAATATACTATAAAATCAAACTTTGCTACCCAAACCATATTCTGAAAATCCCATTTCCATTTCAATCAATGACTAAAAGATTTAATACTATGTAAATGAAGGACTGAGCCTGACCCCATTTTATGGTGAAGCTCAGAACTAGGCAACTTGCATATTATATTACAAAGTCCATGAATTGAAAACCTCAGTAAACCTGCAGACATCAGTGGCTGGGACTAATTCATGAATGTGTTAAACCTTCCTGTCATAACTAACTCCCTGAACGAGATCTTTAAAAATGGAGGACAATGAATCAAAACATCACAGTAGCCTATTTACACCTCGCCTATTAGCTAGGGCAGCCATACTGGATTGCAGACTTCACTTCTCAATCAATTCCTCAATTCCTGCTGACTTCCACAATACTCACTCGGAATATGGATAGATGAGCCACTTAGTTTCATACAGTACTCAAGTAACGACATACGATTTCAGGAACAATTCTTCATTTTTGACCTAACACCTTAAATTTAGAGGAACTCATACCTGAAGTCAGCTACAAAAATAAAAAATTAGGCACTAAATGCTCTTACTGTTAACATGACATGCACCCCCCTAAGGGAGAAAACCCTACTTTCATGTTGTAGGGGACAAGAATACTTTTACAAGCTCCCCGTTATATTCAGAGCTCTCCAACGTTATGGCAGGCATTGGGGAGGACCAGTTTCAAGCAAATAATCCAGTACTTCTTGGAGTTTAGAATTCCCTTAGGTGGGCCATCAAATTATTGATGCCCTGATGCTTCAGCCACAATACTGAAAGTTGGGCCTTTCAAGAAGTTATAAATGCAGATTTTACCTTTCCATAATGTTTTAGATCAAAGGAAATCATAAGTCGAGCAATATTATATTTCCAAAAATTTATGAAAGGTCACAATTCAAATATCAAAACCTAGCCACTTTATTTCAAAACTTTTTCACATTCCCAAAGCATCAAGAGTTTGCTTTGTTAGTCTAGACCATAATTAGCTCAATCTGTTCACTCTATTTGTGAAAATCAAAATTAATTCTGTTCAACAGGTGCAATGGAGTCTAAGGAAAGACCCTTGATCACTACTGATTTTGAAGGTTGCATGTTAGCGTGTTCTTATTCAGAAGTGCTTCCCCTCCTTCTGTTTGAGAAATTATATTTTCCAGTTTAAAATTACTAATCTTTGTATGAAATGAGTTCCTAGGATATTTTAAAAGATCTTGGGGCTTATCTTCAAGAATCATTAGAAGAAAGGGATTTTATAACAATCTATTAGGATGAGTGATTAACTCTAGGCTCCTTTCAGGGAGTAGTTAATTCAAACAGACACTAATAAAGTGATTTACATTGTTTCACAGGCAGGTTTCATTGATTACTGGGAGAACTTTGGATTTACTCCCACATTAGGGTTTTCAGAGGGAACATCTAGAATGAGTTGGTTGGCCTTTCCATGGAGAAAGTTCAGCTGTTTTACAAAGCTGGATTAGTTTTTTCCAAGAGGGTGGTGTCTCACTGACAGTGTGAGGTGATTGGAAAATTAGCTTTTGCAGCCCCCTTTGAGTAATTCCTACATTAGGTTTGTGGTTTTGAAACTGAATCAGTCTTTCCTTGCAAAATTCCGAGATGAGACTGTCTTCCCCCATAAATAAAAATTACAATAGGTGGTGGAGAAAGAATGAAACAATGGTCACAGACTTGTTCATTTGGAGAGTTGTGTTTAACCATTCTTCAGGAAACCATGGCAATAGACCCTTACAATAACCACATTAAATCATCCCATCCAATTATGCCAGCTGATGGACTTCCTGACAAATTCCCATGCATTCTGTTACTAAACATAAAATAGCACAGAGTAAATTCTCAAAAAATATTATGTGTGTTTCCTCATTCTAGGATAGTACTTAGTGAACCCACAAGACATTGCCCCCAAAATACTTCTAAACTTATAATTCAGGCCTCACCAGGATATCTCTACCATCTAAACCCAGACACCTGCATCTGGTACAGTATACGGTATAACACTGTTCTTTGACAGTGCTAAGTCAGGCTAAGACAGTCAAAATTTAAACAAAATTTTCCATATGGTATAAACAAAGGTTAACCCTTATCAATATTAAAAAATACTGAGAACTGTAAGGATCAGTAATAAGACTCCTCTAGCGATTTAATGTAGAGGCTAAGAGACTGAGTTTGTGTTCCCTCTGAAGTGTACTATACAAGGCACAGCAGCCAGTAAGCCATCTGCACAGCATGGATTCACGGAAAGAAATCCAATGGGGCTGACCAACCTAGTGCAATATCAAGATTCATTGCTGTTAACTTTAATGTGCGACTGTTACTTTTGAAAGTCCTCTTCAGGGACTTGTTAGTCCCAGTCAATGAAGTCTATATGTTTGCTGTAAGAAGCAAGTTGGTTAGTGAAGGGTGTTAAGCCATAAAATAAAATTCTAAGAAAGCAGCGTTTTTACAGTGTCTGGGTCACGAGGCAACAAAGAACTTGGGTCACTGTAGCCATGGTTGGGGTCATGGACAATGGCATGAAGCTTGGCATACACTGATGTTATGGCCTCTGCTGTTCGTTGCTGCAAGGTTCGACGAAAATTAGAGCTAAGTAAGAGACGTGTGTGAGGAAGCATCAGATGGTCAGGTGCTGCCAAGAAGCCATCAAGTTTGCTCTGGAAACAACAACAAAATAAAAAATAAGCTATCTTTTCACAATCTTTCATCCTACAGTTTTGAATGAAAGAAAAATCACAGGCAATATAAAGGGAGAAAAACATAAGGTGTGAAACAAAATATCTGGTACGCTAAAGCAATTCCAGCCAAGCCTGTTAAAAGAAAAAAGATGATAAAGAGACTAACAAAACTTGGAAAATCTGAAGGCTTGTTATGAGCAGGTAATGTAAAAGAAAAAAAAAAGATTTCCTGTTGGCATATAGAGAATGAAGATAAGGTTATCTAACGAAATTTATAAATTAAATAAAGGTAGTGCATCAATTATCCATGTCTCCATGCTTTGGCAGTCTCCAAACTCCAGCCATTTCAACCTGAGTACAGGTAGAAAAAACACACACAAAGTAGTAATCAAATGCATCAGGATTGTTTGAGCAAAATGCACCTAAAATAGTTCCCAGCAAAGCCACATTATTGTATGAGGATATCTTAAAAGAAATTTATTAAGTAAATAACAACATTAACTTATTTTCCCAACATCAAGTGGCATTGGGAAACATTTGACTAATGTGAAATAGCTGATGAATGGCATGTCTTTGCTGTGCAGTGTTAATGTTGAGATATACCATAGGTAATGATCAAGTAAACCCACAACAAACCATTTTGGTATTGGCTGCTGCTGCACTCCTACAGCCTTATCACTTTAATTTAAAATTTCCTCTTTCAGTTGCCATTGAATATTTCTTACTGAAATGATAACAGACAATAGTACCGTACAAAACCTTACTGGAAGGAACCATAGTGCTGTACCCATTTTGACCACTCTTACAACATTAAAATGGTAAGCATGTAATAATATTCAATAACCACTTAAACAAGACTCTCCTTGAGCCACTAAGTTTCTCATTGCCCACTGTTCTGCCTCATGTGGCACCTTGTCAAATATTTTCCCGATATATTTCTCTTGTAGTTGCCTGGCCAAAAATATTGCTGCTGTAGTTCCCATAACTGGCATAAACCCAAACTGCATTTTGTTAATGTCTACCTCCCCTTATTACATTCATAATGTCTATAACCCAATCTAATGCCTTCAGGCATTAATCAATTCAGTCAACAGTAATGTATCAATGACGTCAGATGCTTTCAGCATTTCAAAAACAATTCCACAGCTTTCAGATGCCTTTCCATTCTTCAATTTGTCAACTGCTTCCTTCACCCACTTTCTTTTAATCCTTGGGCATGGTCTCTGTACTGTACTGGCTCTGCTGCTCCTCTGCCGACCCTGTCCCATTCATACTCCTCATTCACCACCCATCTTCTGTCTACTACTCTGTTTCACCACCATGTTACTGCATGCCTGGCTGGGCCTGGCCACACATCTTGTCAGCTGGACTTTGCAGAAAGTTCTTTATTTTGGCCAAGCATTTCACTACACTACTCCTCACACTATAGCTGGCTGATTCCACCCTTCAATTTGCACATACTCCTTCTCAGATCAAACACATTCCTTCCCCTGCACATTTTAAGCAGCAGGACACACACAAGCAATCTGTGCTGCAAGGCAATTGAGGGGATAGAGTCACATGATAAAACAAGAGATACATCCCAGTAACTGTTTGACTCACACTTTTTATAGAAAAAAAAAAGATAATAGTTGCAGTGAGCAATGATTTTCCCAACAAGCAATTACTCTGTATAACAACCATTACCGGTAACTAATCCACACATATACTGTAATCTACTGGACAATGAAAGTTCTGCCAGGGGAGTTCTGACCAAGGTATTTCACAAGTTCAGAGATGATGCAGTAAGGTCTTCTCAACTTACCATAAAAGCTTGTATAACAAGGGGCTGACAAGCTGGATTTTGTGAGAGTGGTGTTGTCGGTGGATTGGTGATGAATGGGTACATAGAAGCCACACCAACACTGTGACAAACTCCACTGATCTGCTCTTGGGCCAAAGTGTCCAGCTGGGCATCAATCTGACCCTGTATGGATTCAAACAGCTTCAAACTTCACAGCCTATTCTTGATAAGCATATTTATCTTGAACAATATCAGTTGTACATCTTGGAAAAAAATATATAACAGAACAAGCAAATGCCATTCTAATTTCATGATGTTTCATTTTATCTATTTTTCAAATTGTAGTTGTACAGTACTGCAGAAGCAAATTAAAATATATATTTAATTTCACACAAAGACACTATGCCATGCATACCATTCACAGCTAAACTAATATACTCATCCATTGACAAAAGTTGGCTTTCTGTTTCAAAAGCACATTCACCCACACTTGCTGCTCCTGAACCAATGCCTTTCTTAATATCCTGTATCAACTCAGGGAGGAAGTTACAATTTCTGGGTACTCAAGTTCAGCTTATGACACTTAAAAAACTCACCCAACTTAACAAGACACTTGACTAAAATAAATCTGTATACTATTTCTAAAGCTGGTAAATACCAGAGTTGATGTTTTCATCCAGAACCCCATGATCATAACTTTTAGTTAAAAAATACTGCCTCTCCCTAGCTCCTACAGTCCTGAAAACAATTGGTCCTTTTCTTTTTGTCTTATTACCACATGACAGCAAAGCCAAGTGACAGTTAAAGGATATCCTTTAACAGGAAACTGTACCTTTTCCTTAAGAAATGGTTCTCTTGGTCTTATCTGGCCCTGACTAAATTAACTTTCCTAGACTATTACTTTTGGAACAGGCAAGATTCCTACTATAATACAGGCAATTTCCAAGTCAGTTAAATTTCATGTGTCCATCTCACCCATTCCTTATCAAAACAGAACTCATAAAGAAAAATATTTCTGCTACGTGTATCTTTTAATAGTTTTCCTATCTATTACATTAAACCTCTATACCAGTGGTTCTCAACCTTGTTTGCCCCATGCACCCCTTTCACCATATGTCAGAATGTCATTCCCCCCTCCTTTCCAAGATTGTCTGCCTCAAAAAGTGCATTCCAAATAATATGCATATAATACTGAAAATCCTTTATTTTTTCCATATTAGTACATATACATTCCCCCCCTGAAAACCTGAATTCCTCCCCTGGGGGGAATTCCCCCCTGGTTGAGAACCCCTGCTCTATACACTAGACTTCAATGAACTTGAATTCGCTTTTTTTTTTTTACTCTCTGGGATACTCCGGACAGCCCCTCTATTTACTTGACTCGGCCATAAGCTATGATTCCAAGATTAACTTCAGTTCCAGCCAACTTCAAAAGTTGCCTGCTGGGAAGAAGAATGGTAATTGAGCTGTTAGTCACTTTCTGTTAACAGGTTTTCCCCTTGGCATTGATGGGTTACCAGTCCAACAGCCAAGATTGCCAATGGACTCATTTTGCAGGATTACTCAACTTTAATTAACAATTGCATCATCATGTAAAACAAGGTAAATCTGATATTAGTACAGTACAGTACTACAATAACACAAAGATTGTTACAACTGAGACTGATCTAGAAATTACAATTTGTGTTCAAGTCATATGGCTTAAATGATCAGCTGCTATTTCTAAGTTTCAGCAGGAAAGCACAACTAATCTAAGAATTTGTCTCATCTAGCAGCTGTTTCCCAGGAATTTAATCTTTTATATCTGGTGGGGCAATAAATAAGTCACTTGAATCAAGAACAAGGTAAAAAATTTAATTAAAAATTTTTTGCAAATTATACAGCAAATTAAGTAATTCAATTAAAAAAACTAATGTCATAGTACCTGAATCATCTCTAATTTTTCTCCAGTAGCATGTAGAAGAGACAGTGTAGAGTGCAACTGGTGGAAGCAATTCAACAAGTAGACAGCAGATTCTACAGCCCCTAACCCTGAGGCACTCTCATTGATGGCATTCACCAGGGGATCAACTACACAGCTGACAATCTGTCATTAAATAAAATCATTTACCAGAAAAATAATCTTCAATTGGGTCTTGCACAATATGATTCAGTTAATGATTCAGTTCTTTTTAAAGTGATTGTTTTTTACCCAAACACCTTTCAAATAGTAGTGACCCCACACTTTTTATTATCTCACTTGAAGGTCAACACCAATTCAATTCATAGTACTTTCAATAAAATGAAAATGAAATTTACTCGTGTCTTACTCAGCCATAGTTTTGGCATTAAAAAGTTATTTAAGTAAAACAGGCAAAATCATTACCTGCTTAAAGTCATGCTGGGCATCATCTGCTATAGTTGCAGCAGTAACTACTTCCGTGAGTAGCCCAAGTGTACGTGCAACACCAGGTGTAGGAGCTAACATCTCACCTGGGGGCTCAATCCGATCACTGACATGACTGACCTGTAGGAAAAATAATTAAGCATTAATCCTGAAATCCCCTATTTCACAGTACAGTAATCATAACATAACCTAAGAATCCAAAGGCAGCACTTACCATTATCTGGCTGTTGAATACTTAATAATATGTCAATATTTAAAAGAAATTTTACCTTACAGAAAAAAATTTTGTAGTAAAATTCCTACTTACAAGAAACTGTGGGGAGTGGCACTTACAGTGATGGTGTGGTGTCAGCCTTCCTGTAATATCCCTGTCAGCCAAGACGGCTAATGTATAACATTTTTAATAAAGTATGTCATTTCAATTTACAGTTAGTTTAGTGAAAAATTGGAGGTTGGAAAGAGTTATATATTTCCCCCCATTTTATCAAGTCTAAAGCTTCCAGAATGTTTTTCATTATTGCGATTTCTTTTTTCTGTATCTCAAAACTCATATGGTACTTTTCAGATTCCATTAATGTGAATTTCCAAAATCAAGCTTCAATATATCAAAAGATACCTGTAATGGTAAAAGAAGATGGATGATTTCAGAAAGACAGTAAGGAGGAAAACAGCCTCTGTTAGTATACAGCATGCCTTGACAATTCGTGGATTTTTAATTCACGGACCTCGATTATTCGCGGATGACATTCTGGATGTACCCAAAAATGTCTAAAGGTAGTTTTAAAGTTGTTGGCATTTTCGCGGCCAGGACAGGGAGCCATTCATTCCAAAGACAGTAATTTCTTTTACCTGTATTGTATATGTTTACGCATGCGCACCCACCCACCCACCCACCCACGCACGCACGCACGCACGCACGCACACACACACGCGCACACACACACGCGCGCACACACACACGCGCGCACACACACACACACACACACACATACAAATAAATAATAATGGGAAAATCCTCTCTCCAAGTAATCAGAAACAAGACAACCAAATTTAGAAAAAATGTGAGTCTACCTTACCCTCAAGTCAATACAGATACCTGTAAAAGAAATAATTGTTCTAAGGGTAAACACAAAGGGAATATACATTTCTTTGTTATTCGCGGATTTGGCTATTTGCGACCATTTTGAGAACCTAACCCCAGCGAATTTTAAGGGCATGCTGTACTTTCTGTAAGGTGTGCATCAACACAAGTACATGTAGAAATGGGTAAAATTATGGAGAGTTGAGAAGTTCATTTGGAGTTATATGTTGTACATCTTGCAATAAAAAAAATTATGAAGCTATATTAATACTACTGAAGAAATAAAATATTCTCTCATACCATAACTGTGCAATCAGGAGCCCCTTCAAGAATGTTTATAAGCCTTGCTCTTACCTGACTCTGTAATGCAGATATAAACATCTTGTGGCTCAACTGGTGAAGTTCATCAAGTGTTGCTACTAAGAGACCAGCATCTGTCACCTGTAAGTACAATGAACCTATGACAAAAAACACATTAATAATAAATGTATGTATACATAAAGACCATGCCAAAATCAATTTCTGCTGAGTATTCAATATTGAAATTTTTTTAAATAATAAAATCAATGTCTCAGAATGTAAAAAAGCATATACCCCTGTACTGTACCTGTATGTGAGACAGTAGTAATAAAATGTAGGAAAATGGTTTGTAGCCTGTCCAATGAAATTTACGTCTTTGTAAGATGGGACGGGGATTATACACAAGGTGTTACAGTCGCAATCCAATGTTTCTTTACCCCTCTTGCTGGAGGGAAGACGAAGCCAAATGTTGAAGATGGGCCAGGTGAACCGACATACACTATGCTTTGTGTTGCCGTTATATACTGATACAGTACAGGTATTCAAAAAATAGTTATAGTCCCAGGGGCACCAACATACCGTATAATGTCATTGTTCTGAATCTTACTTTATACCTGTACTTGTGTGTTTTGCCTGGGTGACTGCGTTGATGTGCTGGTGTGCGATCCCCACCATCATCATGCCTCATCACCAAACTACTATACGAGTATGTCTGTTCACCTGGCCTTTCTTCAACTTTGTCTTTGTCTTCCCTTCAGCCAAGGGGGAAAAACTTTGGATTGTGAATGTACAGTACATCCTATAAGTACTGGTATTTTGTTTTGGGCTACTGCACTAGCAGTACACATTTGTTGTACAATACTGCACTCTCCTCCATGACATTCGGATGGATTCTGAACACTAGATTTGATAAAAAAAAAAAAAAGTTACCCATTCACATGGCAAAATCAAGTGCTGGCAACAGAAGTACTTTTTATAGTGTCCAACCTATCACATTTATGGTGGTACCTACAATGAAAAAGTATAGCTATACTAAATGTCAATATTTCTTATTTTAAATTTCATATTTTCACAATGAAAATCTGTGGTCTGCTGTTAAACTTTTTCCTCTTACAATTGTGAATTTTTATTTTGGGCTAAGAATAGTAAGTTCGTGACAAAATCTACCAATAGTTTTTTAAGAAGCACCAATTGTGACCTTTTTTAATCCCCCTGGTAAGAGCATTGGTCCATGTTCTGGTACATTTACAGGCTCTTCATATCAAGTATCTACCAACAGGGAAATTATACAAAATACTGTATAATAAAAATAAAAATAAAAATAAAAATAAAAATAATAATAATAATAATAATAATAATAATAATAATAATAATAATAATAATAATAATAATATACTATAATAATAAAAACACTGAATTGACCAAAACCTATGACTTGTTCAGTACATGCATGTAGAGGATATAAAATAGATACAGTAACCCACCTCAGTTACTAGTACAGTATTGAGTTATTAGCAATTACTGTATTATACAGCATAGTTCTTTTTAAAACTCTTGTATTCTTAAGGGGGTTTAACTGTTTGTGAATGAATTAGCTTTGGGTCTTTGGTAGTTAAAGTACTGCACTAATGTACAATGAAAAAGAAAGAACACCATATAATTAACGTATTAAACAACCTGTAGGATGGTATTATGGTAAAATCGCAGTAGGTTGCTGATCTTGTATAACTGTACAGGTTTTTTCCTGCCTTCCCGTCTCTGATCAGTCACAATCATTTGCTCTATTCGGGTCTTGAGAGGTCGACAAACACTCTCAGAGATGCTGGCTACAGTAGATCTTGTTTGCTCCATAGGATCTGGAATCAAGAATCCCCTGTGAGTTCTCCTTAAATAGAATACAGTAGCCTCTCCATTAGTCTGAATCGTAAATCATCGAAACACTGCAACAGCCAGATTTTTTTTTCGAGCATTCCGAGAAATTACAGGACAAATCTCTCCATTACAGGTACATAGCGGAGTGAACAGAATATGCCTACTGTAGGCTAGTGTGTAGAGGGTGCATATACAGCAACAGTGCATGTACAATCCCTCCTTCATGGGGGAAAGGAGAGTGACAGTTAGCAACACCTGTACTGTAGTATACAGTTCTGTACAGGTAATTTGTTTACTTACAATATATCTTACATATACAATGGTGTTTGCATAAATAAATTCGTTTCCATACCAGGAAATCTCTCAAATGAGGAACTGCTCTGCACCAATTATTCTGGCTAACAGGGAGAGTTACTGGGCTTTGAATAAAACATTTAAAGCCAATACCAATTCCAATCCTAATACCTGTAATTAGGAAAGGATATATTGAATAAGAATACACTAATGATATTTCATTATTATCAAATTCTGTATATGATATTATTTTTTTTGGGGGGGTATATGTAGGTTAATTTCCTTCCAATATAGTTTTGAGAAATACATGTTATCACTATTTTACAGGTATTTTCCACACTTGTGTGGGTTAGCTATTATAACCTGATGGCATGGTATTTCAGTTGATATCTGGTAAACACTCAGAAAAATATCTACAAAATCTCCCAATATGTGGAGCAAGCCAGGATTGTTTTGTTTCTATTGTAACCAATGACAATTAATGATCATGAAGTTCAGTTGTATTAGCATGGTAAGGAATTCTTTCAATATTCAGTCTATGACAAGGATTGTGTTAGGAGAGAATTATATTTTTCAGGTTAATTTCTAGAATTTAGTCCTTGTCTCACATGTGCCTCAGGTTGTCTTATTATTCATTTCACTTGGCAGTGGCAGTAAAAATTTAATAAAGTAACTCATATTTCCTTTCTTACAGTACACATCAGAAAGTTTCTGTCATCTGGCCATTTTCAAATATTTCTCTAATGATACTTTTAAATTTTTCCATCTTCTATTTATTCAATAGAGTAGTAGGTAAAATGTTTTAATATTTCAAACTTGATATGCTTTTTCCTGATTAAACTGCAGTCATTGTTTTACTATCGATTTAGTCAACCCACTTACCCATATTTGTACATTTTGCAAATAAGATCTGAGCAGCTTCTCGCTCAGATGGCAATGCTTGATGAACCCAGGCCAACATATCACCAACATATCTTAAGGGGTCATGAGCTTGAAGTTCAATGGGACGAGGAGCTCCACCAGGACCACCGATTGTGAGTGCATCTAAGAAACCCCTCACAACCCAACCTCGTCGAACAACTATCCACTCATCGACTACCAAGCTGGAATTAAGGTTTCCAATTACCTTAGCTGCCACAATGAAAAAATAAAATTTTCTAACTAAACTGAAATCAAACATTTTATTTTTACCAATTAATTATAAGTAAATGGAATGATGAAAGCTTTAAAGAAACAATGAAATACATTTTACCTCCTTAAACATCTCTTGTTCACAAACAATATGCATTATCAAAGCTCATTTCATCTTGAAGACTTCTAAAGTCAATCCTCAAACTTTATAATATTGTACAAAATGAATGACTTTATTAACCAAAGCCACTGTCAATAAGCCACAATACATTCCCAACTACAAGGTAATTATGCATGTGTAACTATGGAAACTAAGGAAATACAGTACATACTCCTCAAATACTGTACCATATATACACAAGTCTAAGTAAGTTGATTTCTCAATTAAATTTGCATGGCCACTGTCACTTCTCCCTCATCATGAGATCTGTCTCAATTCTGCATTTTTTTCAGGGGAGGGGGGAATACTCAATTCATACACTAAATTGTACAAATACCGTAAACCTTATAATTTCATTTACTCATCAAATCCTCCCAGGTCCATCTTTACCCTTTCAAGCATCTACTAAAGTATAACCACAATAAACTTTCTTCATAAAACTCTCATTAATAATAATAGCAAAAATAACATGGTTATATGTATAAGTATTTACAAGATGGTTTAATAACTCCATGTATAGTCGATATAAAATTTATCTGTACTTGGGGGTCGATGAATTTCAGAATGAACACTACGACTGTTGTCTCGGTATGGTTGTAAAAATCTTTTGTTCATTGTGTCATATTGTCTAACACAATTTTGTAAGGATAGTTTTTGATGGACTTGCATACATAGAACATTTCATTAACTTTTCCTTATAAAGATACTTATCCCAAGACATCATGAATTAAATTTTTTGTGTGCAGCATAAATGAGTAAAATTCATTTAAAACAAATGTTTGCCTTTAAATTAGAACTTTTTCAACCAAGAGGGTAAGAATCTGGGCATTTTCCTCACCAGACATGTATTTTTCTCTCATAAAAATGTTGCAGAAACTGATGCAACTACCCCAGGCTACAGTTATTCACACTGGCTACATTTGAATCCCATGCATAGAAACACAACGCATCCAAAAGTTGGCAAACCAAAAGTATTATACCAAATACCTGTACTGTACTATACTTTTTCAGGAAGTAACAGGGCTATTAGTTTTAGCATATTTTTTTCTAATTATGTAATCAATATCAATATTTTTTGTGGGTACTGTAAGTAGAAGCAATAAACTATAAATAGAGATTCTTTAGTAAATGATTTTTTTCTAAGCCTTTCAGAAAAAACAGAGAACCATTATCACGTATGAAACAAAAGAGAATTTTAAAAGTAAATTCACGAACAAAGTACAGTACACTAATATTGAAGAACATCTTTTTTCAAGTTACTAACTTAAAGAGGACAGGTCTTTCTTGTAGAGCAGCCAGGGCTTGGGTAAGCAGTGGGGATGGGTCTGGAGGACGACACTGAGACTGACACCACCTGTATAAGCGCTCCAAAGCAGCCTCACGACAGATGTTCATTTGTTCCATCACATCTAGAGCTGTCTTCTGGTGGCCAGTCTATTCAGCAATAAACATTGATAATGGTATAGTAAATATCTAAAGAGAAACTAAGGAAGGAGACAATAAGAAGACAAACTATTGTAAACAAAGTGCTAGCAACATAAAGGATAGACCATGAGGTGATAAGGACAAGTGGGATATGGAGAGTGGATGACACACAATTATCAAATGAGTTACAAAAGAATACACTGAATAAGGTCAAAAGAAAAGTGGAAGCTTAAAGTAAAAGATTAAAAAAGTGAAGGATAAAATACTGTACAGTAATCTATTGGCTAAGCATCAGTGTTACATAAAATAATAACCTCCACAGAAAAGTAATCAATAATGGAAACGAGATCCACCTGCAGAAAACTTACTTGTTCATAAAAAGTAAATATGTTCATTGTTCATGATACTAAGCACATTTTCCAGTAGACCCATAGATTCCCACTATAAAAGGTGAGGAAAGTCCTACAAAAAAAAACAAGCTACCCAAAACATCTTAAAATGTCACAAAATGCTACAAAAATGTTTATAGTGAAAATTTTTGGTATATTCAAGGATTGTAAGCAAATGAACATATTAAGTGAAAAACATGCAGTATAGTACAGTACTGTAGTTTATCAATTTGAAGACTCTTTACCTACCTGAAGCAAGTACTTGGTGTTATTTCGAATCTTTTGTGTCTTCTCCAGAACAGCAAAAAACTCCTGGGTGATCGGTGATTCTCTACTTGAGCCCTTAATAATAGACACTTCCTCAGAAGTCAGTTGGAAATTTTGCACAAAAGCATCAGCTACATCTTCTTCCATGTGTAACTTATTACTGAAAAAAATACAAAAGATGAAATAGAATGATTTCAAATTAAAATAAAATAATTAAAAGCATACAATATACAGTTGGCCATCAGTATTTATGAGGGCTACGTTCTTGAAAACCTCCTTAATGCAGAATTTGTTGATGCAAAAATCTTGGTTCATTGGGATGACCGAAAATAGATGGGAAATGGCAACACTCGAAGAACAATGACTTCAATAAACACTTTAATGCATACCAGTAAATACTACTAAACTATAGAAATAATGTGTTTTATTAACCTTCGATGATAATAATGATAAGCTGAGGCAATCCATGCAACAGTGACAAGTGCACCAAATTTACATTTCAAGAAAGCATATGTCAGTTTTAAAAACGAAAATACCCATAAAATGTCATCCATTATGGTAAACCAAGCAATTTCATTTTCACAATTTTCCAGTTCCACATATTTCCATCTCTTATGAGAGTAGCCTGACATACTTAGCTGCACATCATTACAGTACAGTACTGTATAAGAAAACTTGTTATGAATGCATGAAATGCAAATTTCTGACAAAAACATGCAGCAGCATCACAACATTATACTGTATGTATGTGTATATACTGAATGAGCATAAAGGAGCCAAAACCGTCCATAAACTAAAACAATCATTGGCTGGAAGAGACAAAGATGCTTGAACTACAGTACAGTATAATGATGCTGGTTCAAGCATCAGGCTGCTTGTTCTCTGTACTCCTTGTTTGACATCTAAGTTTTTTGTTCTCACAGTGCCCTCAAACAAACACAAAGGCGACAGAATTGAGTTTAACAGTGTTATAGGAAACAAAGTGCTGAATGCCCCCCCCCCAAAAAAAAATAATAATAATAATTCTGCAAATATCATATCAAGGAAAGAGTATGAGGAACTGAAGATTCCACACCCCTGTGATTTCACTGTGGCTTGGCTTCAAATATTTAAAAGTTTAAAAAGCCACTGGAGAAAAAATGTCAGTATTGTACACAAAGAGGCACAAATTGTTCATACAACCACCACCACCTCCAGCCAGCCACTTTCTCTTACAAATTTACAACTTTAATGTACAAAATTAGCACATAAAATTTTAAACTACTAAATAATTATCAGACAATCAGGCAAAATCAAGCAGTGGGAAAAATCAAATACATTTAACTTAAATTTTTTGTAAACCAAAGCTTCATACGCCAGAACCTACATCTAGCAAATAACCTTATGAAGTCACAAACAAATCAAATAATTAGGTTTCAGGAATCAAATGATTAATTAATCCCTTCCCTGATATTTGCATCAGAGAGGGACAACTTGACAGCTAAAGTTGCTATTGAAAGCCAGATGTCTATCACGAGCACAATTGTCAGGATCTGCTATTTTGGATTTAGCTTGACCCATTTTCAGTACAGTATTTATCCACTTTTTATCAAGTGCACACTTACCTACTCTTGTTTACTTACATGGCTGTCCACCATATCATCTTCCTGTTTTTGGAAGCTATGTGTTACTGGCCCATTTAATCTTTAGTGCTTTAAAAGGGGTTGTGCTGGAGCTACACATCCAAGTGGTACAAATACATTAAAACAAATTTGACTTGATTATGAAAAATTGAACGAGCATGACTGCCCATTAAGGACTGTATAGATAAAGTACGTTGCTTACCATACCTTCGGTACACGAGGAGTAATTGTAGATGGCACTACACTCAACAGCTTTCACATCCAACTTTGTAAATTTAGATATATACCCATTTACAGATGAGTATCTTCATTTTCCCCCCTGTTGTTAGATGTTGCTTTTAAAAAAATATTAATGCCAAATATGGACAGTTTATGGTTCTGCCCGGATAAAAAAAAAGGACCAATTAACAGTTTCATATTTTACAGGAGAATTGACTCTCCAGGGAATGCTGCATGGAAACAAAATACAGTATGTGGTAGTACTGTATGGTACACCATATGCATCCAAATGGTTAAACACCCACTCACTTCAACAGTAATTTAACTTCAAAACACTTTTTATAAAGTTATAACTCACCTTGAGTCTGCACAACCTGCTTCCCTGAATTCAATTATTCAGACTCAAGTTGAGTGATGCAGCAAAAGTACCTGGAGTGACGCAACTCGCGTGATCTGTGTATATGCTGCTTGAAAAATCCAGTTTCTTGGGAGTTCTGGTTTGTTAATGTTAAAATTACAGAGATTTTTGAAACACAGTGCAGACAGATATATCAGTTACACCTCCTCACCTCTGATTCTGAAGTGAGGTTGTCTGATGAATAAGGTGGCGGGTCTCAGATTTTGTTGCCTGTAGTCTGTGTTTCATGTCCACACATACCTCATTCATCGAGCTAACCTCAGTGTAAATATCATCAACAGCTTCCTTTACATCTCGCAGGGCATGAACAAATTCCTGAAAATTATTTAATGTTCATTAAGTCTAAGATCTGATATTCGTATGCATACTTTCGCTCTCTCTATTCACCCCCAGTCCCCCCCAAAAAATAAAACACATAACTTACATGGTTAATCAATGTATTTATTAACCCTTTAGCAGGCATGGGCTCCCCTCAGCTGAATAAAATCGTTTGACATTAGCCAGAATAAAATACATTAAGGAATGCTTGGGATTTTTATTCAAAGTAGTCAGAATACGGTATGCCTCTACATTATGATAAGTACTTTGATGCTAAAAAAAAATTCATTCAATGACAGTAGAGAAAGCCTTCAAGTATGATTTATGAGTTTCTTCAAAATATTTTGATCACCCAGGTTGCAGTGGTTACAATAGCTTATATGCAACACTGTATGTAGTAACAGCTGCTTGACCAGGCTACCACCTGGGAAGTATGGTTGCACACTGAACTGTAGGGTAGTAGTTGTTACTGGAATTAACCAAGGGTAAAAAGAAGACCATAATGTACTGTACTTACTTCACTGATTCCAACACTACGTTTTTCAATCTCTCCTCTTAAATTCCTGCGGCTCCTCAACGTATTATCTGAGAAAAATGTTGACAACTCCTTCAATGCATCAAGTGTATCCTGAAACAAATAGAAAATAAATTTTATAACCAGGCCTACAAATAATTTACAAATGCACAACCCTCCCAATTTTTTACCTACCTGTCCAAGTACTTGCCAACAGTAAGTAAGAGAACTAATTAACTGCCCAAAAGGCTAATTAGCTGACCACTGGTTAAGCAGAAAGTGTAAAGTAGCTACGTATATACCATACAGTATATATATTATTTTTAATCTTTGTCTGATATATTAACTTTGTAGTCATGTGAAGCAGGGATGTAACTTGCCCAAGGTGACTAAAATAATGTAAAGGTGACATGATCTTACTAATTGGCTGTTTAGTTTTACCCGGCAGGTAAGTTGGCCAGCATTAGGGGATTAATATGTACAGTATTATGTTCAGTAAGGCTGGATTAATTCACATCAAATTAATATGGCTATACAGTATTAGGGTTAATTAGATCAGGTTTATAGTTTCCTTCTATGAAGTAAAGAATTGTTCAGAAACCAAGTGGCCAACAAAACTCAAGTTGCTGAAAAATCTTAAGCTTTTTGGTTACTGTCTGTCACTTCGCCTCTTGTTAAGTATCACACTTTAACAATGATATGTCTTGCACATATTGCCTTTATTAAACTACTACTGTAAGTGGTTGGTAAGTATAATATAGACACTGAGGACTGCAACCAGGACCAGCTCTAGCTGTAAGCAAACTAAGCAGCTGTTCAGTGTCCTAAGAGGAGAGAGGTAAATACTATACAGTAATATAGAAAACACCTACTCCTCAACCCAGCAACAAAATATAGTTTCCCAAGTAGTGCTTTTCTGCCCTTTGCAATGGAGCTAACCATTTCCTATGAAAATGGTTTGGTATATGTTATGGACCATTTCTCTTCCTTCAATAGCTATTAACCCTTTGGCTCCTGGAGATTTCCCTAAGCAGATTAAATCTTCTGGCACTAACCAGAATAAAATTCTAATGTGTGACAATCAATGGGAAGAGATTAATTTAATTAGTTTTTAACACTGATTTTCCCAAAGCTGAGTAAAATCTCCTGGTGGTAGCCAGAATAAAATGACAATCTGCAGGAAAAGATTAATACCATTAAAGTGATCGGGGCTTTGACAAAGAGAAAATGTGGGATTAAAATATATAAAACACAGTATTTTAACTTATTTGTATAAATTATGAGGGTTAGCTGAAATGTTTATTTCACTTTCTCAACAGCTATCAGCAGTGTCAAAAACATCCAACCTCACCACAGAAAATTGCAAGAGTGTTACAGCACTAGCCTAGCCTAACCCAATCTAATCTAATCTAACCTAACATTTTTCCTCTGTTTAAAGCAGTGCCATTTTTATGGGGTATGAATATTTAAGGAAGAGAAGGCAGCCATAACTAAAAAATAATGCCATTGCACAAGAAACAGTTATCATCAGTGGATACAAAATATATATATATTTTTTTTTAAGGAAAATCCTGTTTCATCGCTTGATTGAGGAGCCCATGTTAAATATACACATTAAATATTTTCCAGAAAATATTTTAAAAGTTATATTAAACAAGGAGTGCACTTTTGGGCATTTTCATGAGATAGGAAAGCATTTATCTTCAGTGGTGACATGATTTGCAGTTGGTACGGTAGTTCAAGAGTGTTCAAGCTAACCTGATCTTCATTTCCGTCGCAAATGAGCTGTTTTGGAGATTTGACCCCCCAATTACCAACAATATTGGTTGCACAAAGTGGGCAGGGCTTTGAAGTGGAGGGAAATTGTGGTGTAAAAACACACAAAAAACACTGATGAAATTAAATCTAACGAAACCCCCTAACCAGAGAAACCAGAAAGAACCTCACCTGACCTAACTTCCAAGTCCCCCTAGAAACCTCCATTGTGTAAAAACCTTACCTTAATTAACAGATGCAAGAAGACAGAGTGATGCTACTAGTAGGATGAAGTGGTGGAGAATAGTCTTGTGATCGTTGTACATTATTAGGCTTGGAACATGTATAGAGCGAAATATTGTTGGTAATATATATATATATATATATATATATATATATATATATATATATATATATATATATATATATATATATATATATATATATATATATATATATATATATATATATATATATATATATATAAAGGGGATCCCGAGTTACGAACGGGTTCCATTCCTAAGAAAGTTCTTAAGTCGAAAATGTATGTATGTCGAAACACATGCTGTGCATACTATACTTACTGAACAATGTTAAAAATCCCACTATATCATAGCATAAGTCCTTATATACAACTAATATCACTTATTTAAGAGAAAAGAAGAAATAGAATGACAAAATACAGTAAATGAAAGTAAAAAAAAAGTCAAGTAAATAAAAGACTTTAAATTTAAAGTTTAACCTCATTCATATCAGCGGGTGTTCGTAAGACAGGGACCCCCAAACCTAACCTTACAAAACCTAACCTAACCAAACACAACTTAACCTAACCTAAGCTAGCCTAAGCCTAACCTACCCACCTGTGTGCTTACCTTAATTAGACTGATAAGACTCGGAGTTGGGGTCATCGGAGTACTCTTCGTCATCCACAGGTGTACCAAAGGTGTTTTTCAGCTTTGTATCGATAAGGGTGGTTACACTTCGCGCTAGTAACCTCCGTAGGTAAAACACCGTGTTCGTGTAGAAATTTCCATGCTTCTCCGTCTTTACCATAATAATCGATGTGAAATCTGGTGATGGTTTGGAAGTAATTCATATCTCAGCCATTGCACAAGGTAGACATCGTGGAAGTAAATTCAAATTCAAGCGGGTAGCAGCAGGGGCCTATCCCGGGCTGCGATTAGTTGATCCAAAATCATACCCTCCAATCAACGTCCAAAGAACTGTGCAGTGTCAGACTCTAGCGCATTCGCAATGCAGCATAGTAACCAACAAACGAACACACAGGAGCTCTCTCGGACGGTGGTAACATAAAAACTTAGAAAAAATACGACAATTTTCCAAATATTTATTGCAATTTTTTCGGAAAGTAATCATTTGTGCAAAAATGCTACAGAAGAAACGAGTCTTGGAATGTCTAAACTACTGATTCCAAAACTTAAAATCCTAAAATTCACTGGATGACAAAAATGATAATAACATCGTATTAAGTTTAGAGGCGTGCCTCTTAACATTTCCCATGATTGTTGTTAATAAATCAATTATTACATACAAGATGACATTTCTAATAAAACTTTTAAACTAAAACATTATCAATATTTCTACATAAGCAGCAAAAAGAAAACTTAGGAAAGTCCAGGGAAAATCTGTCAAATGCACCACATCCCAGGCAGTCTGTACAGAGGTTCTTTACAGACTACCTAACCAAAATATGACTTAGAAAACTTGATAAAACAACAAACCTTATCGTTTTCTAGTCTGGTTTCAAGAATTTTATTGATTTTCCTCGAAAGAGGGTTATTCTGGGGCTTTTCTCCACTTGCATTCTTGGTTTCTGCCTTCGTGTCACCTCCCATCTTGTTTACATCAATATTTCCTGGTTACATTATATCACTACATTTAACACAATACTGCTCTTAAGCTTACCAAAACTTAATAAGTTTCATTTTGATTTATAAGTTCCATTATTTCATTAAACAGATACAAATATATAAATATTCATTATTTTTTGTATAGTTTTATACATTTTTGTATAGCACGTAATTAACACCCAACAGTTGTGTTATGTTGACAGTCGTCGAACCTTTAAACAACTACAACTTTAAAAAGATCCTCTCGTCATTGTCGTACTTTTATTTTTATTAGTTATATCATCACTCGTGCTTTCTTTCACTTGTAACAATAACAATAATCTAATTACAGCAGCGATAACAGAATTAAAACATCATTTATCTAAAGTAAGGATTTATTAGGTTCAGCCATTGAACGATGGATTACCGCTATTGATCATGTCCCTACCCAGACATTCATACAAACTTTTCAACAACAAAAATGCATAAGGTAAGAAAATTTTCCTTTTTCACCACTGGCTTGCTAGTCGGCGCAATACACAGTAAATATCCCTCCTCCTAGTCACAGGCCTGGCATTTGACATTATTAGGGACCTGCCACTCTTTGCCATAAACAGATAAAATGTACCGGGAACTTTCCCCCCACACACTCATCATTCTCTCACTTTATGTAACTTGACAAAACCTATGACCCTTCAGGCTTTTACGCCCTTAATGTACGAGCCATAAAGGCAAGTATGAACTTTTCATACTTCCCTGTTGGGCGCTGTAAACGCTTCTGCGCTTCACCTTGCACAGGATGTAAGGGGGTGCCCAATAAACTAGCCCCCTCGGGGTCAAATCTGAATCTGAATACACAGTATTGTCCGGAATATTGCTCCACCCATTCACTTCTAAATGAATGAAACTTTTGTATATGTTTGATAGCATTTTCTCTTGGAGAATGTCTTATATTTCATTCTATTAAAAACATTAGGCTACCGTTGTTTGTATACCAGTACAATGCATTGATACTCAAACTACGACGCCATGTACGCAACTCGTAGTTAAAGTGAACATTTGTTTTACTAATCAATATAAGCCCTTGCTTGTCTGCTGCGATTCCAGGTCTGCTCTCGACGGGATCGCATTTGGATCAGGGGAAAATAAGGACCTCATCCTCCGAATACGAGGGTTAACATCCACTGTGACATTCCTATGGATACCCAGTCATGTCGGTATCTTGGGGAATGAGGCAGCAGATGGCCTTGCCAAGACTGGCTGCAACAAGGCCACACCTGACTACGTTGTTCCTCGAACACTTTTACAGCTTAGGACCCAAATTCGCCGCAAACAGAGAGAAGCTCGGGAGGCAGCCATCCCCCTGGACTCTCCGCCCACCTGGTACGATGTCCTCCGTAAACTTCCTGACCTCTCGTACGTCTATGGGAAAGGGTCGCGGAAAGGGGACGTGATTGCTGCCCGTATCATCATTGGGTATGACTTTGCTTGGGAGATTGGTATCCCGCATCCCCTGAGCAACGCTCTTGTGCATTATGTAGAAGACCCGACAGCCGCACCCTTATCCACTACCTCCTAAGATGTCCCCACACACAACGCTTCCGTGTCGCCTGCTGGACCACCACTCCACGACCCCCGCTTCCTCTATCAAGGAATAAACAATTGAAATTGAAAAAAAATTGAATCAATATAAAATTAACAGTCAGTTTAAAATATGGTTTGGTTAGATTAGTTTTAATAGAAGGAAACAGGTTTAAATTTCCTAAAGCCTAGAGCCGAAATTATGAAGATTATCAGTTTTTTTTTCTTACTGGAGACTACTGTATATGAGAAAACGTTGAACTGTTTAAGAACACTGCTAAAATAGCTTGTTATTACATTGAGACTATCGTACACAGCCAAAGTTGTCAAGGTCCTACGTAGATCCAATTACTCTGAAGGACAAGATTATTCTTAACAATCTTGTGTAAGTTCATACAGTATACTGCATATTATACAACTGAACGTGGCGGCTGTAACTCCCCTCAAAAAAAAGGAAAAGGCTGATTGTCGATTTCTTGTGAGTCTCAGTTTCTTAGATACTGATGGATACTATTGACATTCTAAGCTCCATCGAAATCCATTCCTATTTGTTTGAGACTAATAAATATGTTGGGTGGGGGATTGTGGGGGGGGGGGTTATAGAGGGGAGGGGTGTGTGGGAAGATAAATATTTCTGTAATAACAACCATACCCCCTGTAAATTTATATAAGATTTTATATTTACTTATTTTTTTTTCAGAACATTTATCATTATTTGTTAACTGGATATTTTCCTGATCTATTTAAGAAATAAATTTAAATACAAATTATTTCGAGGGGATGGAAATGTTTTTGTTTAATCTTCACGGAATATCCCCAACCCATCCACACAATCCCCTACACCCACTCCCTACACCCCACACCTCTACATCCACATAGTCCCACCCTCACACCCCCACTGAGCCACCAGATACACAACTGGTTCTATCCATTGATCCACACTACAGTTTCTAGAGAGAGAGAGAGAGACTGCTTAATGGTCACCCACCCTACGTGACGGAGTATATAAAACTTCCCGTATACAAAGGATGAATTGGTCGACGTTGCTTATATTTCACATCAGTTTATGGAAGGAGGGGATGTTATTGTTTTTTGGCGTCAACAATTATATACATTTTATTCATCAATAATTTGTTTATATATATATAGAATTGTGTATTGGTTCTGTTTACCTGTACATATATGTGCATCTGTACCTGTCTTTGAGTTAATAAATTTAAATACTCTTATTGAAATCTAGATATCTTTGGGGGGTCTGGGCGTGATGAGGTGAGGAGGAGGGGGAGGGGGAGGGGGAGGGGGGGGGAGAGTATTAGCCTAGAATCAATGTGCATGATCCATCAGTCAACACCAGGAGCTAATTAAAGTAACGTCTGAATAGTGTGGTATTTAAATTCATCTCAAGGTGCGTAAGACATTCATCATGAGCATTATAAATAAAACACGACACTATCATTAAGACCGAAACCTTTCTGGTATAAAACTTTTTGAATCTGGGTTCTCAAAGTTTTGTAAAAGGACAGAACATATCCAGTTATAGTTGAGTCTCAAGTGTATTTTCGACTCCCTATTAGATGATCCTTTCGTCACACAGTCTTCGCCACTTATAAGCCACACAGACAAGCGGCCTCGAAATTCCTAACTGGGAACTTCACTGGGTGCGTCCCTTCCCCCGCCCCCCACAGAAACATACAAACCAGGCAATTAATCTGTGGTCATCCAAGATATAAAGTTAACGCTTCACCCCGAACACGTCAACATGGATAAATGAATTTAAAAATGTATTTTCTTTGTTTCTAAAACCTATCCGTGCATTTGTTTTAGTTACGAACATGGTGGAATATATAACATGATAATGGAGCTTCAAAACAGACCACTGCTCATTTGCACCGAATATTCTACCAATGGGCGTTGACCAGAGAGATTGACAGATGCCCACCGTGCCTCGAGGATCGCCTCCGCTGACAGTATGTTGAGAAGGTGGAGGAATTTTGGGCAAGAGTTGTGCTCACCGACGAAAAAATAATTTCGTCCAACAACCATGGATGTATCCATGTGTGGCGCCGAAACTCAAGGTAGCATACTCATAAAGTTATGTTTGTAACCCGTAACGTGGTTAATTTTATTATGGCCTTTTATATATCAAAATAGTTAATGAAATTCCGCATATCTTACAATAAATAACAAATCATAATTTGACATGAAAGTGAAGAATATAGCAAAGTGATGAGGTCTACATTACATTATTTTAGGAGATATGATCGGCGATCACGGATGGACAGACGGATGGATGGATGGATGGTCGGACGAACGAACAGACGGACAGCATCATTGCTATATATCACCAAACTTTCGGTCCGGGAGGAATACTGACAAAGAAATCTAACGCTGGTGAACAAGGAACGGTGCCACACCCCTAAAGATTACATGGAAAAATACTTTATGTTCTTGAAACGAGGTGGTGGTCTAATGCTCCTTAGGTGTGAGGGCGTTCCTGAGGCCTGAGTGTGAAGACTCTCCCACACATCTAACAAGGGAGGAGATACCCAACTCAGCGAAAGCATTGGTCTCTGATGCTGAGCTGTGACGGTCAACGCTGAAAATTTCAAGATCAAATAGTTCACTATCCAAAGAGACCTTAATCCTAATCGCCCCTGAGGCAATGCAGTCCTGAGCATTACGGTTGGAGCCCATTAAAATTGGGATCCAGTGGTATTAGTACTTACTGGGATTGGGACCCGTTATTATTAAGCTCCAATCCCGATGGTTAGGTTAGGTTGTTACCAATTAGGGCGGGGACCTGTTTGACGAATCAACAGCTGATAGAGAGGACATGAAGCCTCCAAAACACGAAGCCGACTATCTAGTAACCTGTAAAGCAGGATAATGAAACCATAACAGCATGGCGAGGGTCATTTTTTCTGAGTGTAACAAGAACTTTCCAGGAGAGATACGAATGTCTCTAAAACAGGTGAGTGTGATCACTGTACCCACCTGAATGGAAGAGGTGAGAGGAGGGAGGACTCCGATACCCTCGTAGAAGGCGTGAGGGAAAGGATGGGAGAGATTCATATTCAGCGACGGGACCACAGGCGACCACAAAGACTGTGTAAGGATAAGGAGTTGGTTCGACGTCCACGTAAACTAGTGGGGGCATTACGTTGACTCATTGATAGGGGAGGGACACCGACGTCCTCAAAGATGGCGAGGAAATCATAACAATCCTTTAAAACTGTTGTGGGATGCTGATGACAAAAACGATAATCAATGAATACGATAAAATTGGACGTACCTGAGATATGGTGAGTCATTGTCCCTCGTAGAGCTGTTTTTAACTCGCACTTACCTGGAAAAAGAAAAGGAAAAATTCAGTTGAGATTACCTGCCGTCTATCCCACACACACACACACACACACACACACACACACACACACACACACACACACACACA